AAAAACAAAGTTTTCCTATGTTTTGGGGCCACACGTTTTTCTCCCTCTCATTGTTCTTATGCTACTGACGAGGCCTCTGTGCTTCTCAAACTATCTTTGGTAAAGGATCAGTTCTGGGTTTTTTTTGGTTTTTGTTGTTGTTGTTGTTTTTTTTTTTGAGATGGAGTCACACTCTGTCGCCCAGGCTGGAGTGCAGTGGTGCCATCTCAGCTCACTGCAACCTCCGCCTCCTGGGTTCACACCATTCTCCTGCCTCAGCCTCCCAAGTAGCTGGGACTACAGGTGCCCGCCACCACACCCGGCTAATTTTTTGTATTTTTAGTAGAGACGGGTTTCACCATGTTAGTCAAGATGGTCTCAATCTCCTGACCTCGCGATCCACCTGCCTCAGCCTCCCAAAGTGCTGAGATCACAGGCGTGAGCCACCGCGCCCGGCCTTGTTTTTTTTGTTGTTGTTGTTTTGTTTTCTAAATTATTAGTGCTCTTTCCTGTCTATCAAGGATTGATCCTTTCCAAAAAATTCAATAAAAATAAATTATTAGAAAAATAGGCCGGGTGAGGTGGTTCATGCCTGTAGTCCTAGCATTTTGGAAGGCTGAGGGGGGCGGACTGCCTGAGCTCAGGAGCTCAAGACCAGCCTGGTGAAACCCCATCTCTATTAAAATACGAACAAATCAGCCTGGCATGGTGGTGTGCACCTGTAGTCCCAGCTACTCAGGAGGCTGAGGTTTAATTGCGTGAACCCAGGAGGTGGAGGTTGCAGTGAGCCAAGATCATGTCACTGTGCTCCAGTCTGGGCAACAAAGTGAAACTCTGTCTCAAAAACAAACAAGCAAACAGAAACTACTAGAGGCCAGGCGCGGTGGCTCACGCCTCTAATCCCAGCACTTTGGGAGGCCGAGGCAGGCAGATCACCTGAGGTCGGGAGTTTGAGACCAGCCTGACCAACATGGAGAAACCCTATCTCTACTAAAAATATAAAATTAGCCAGGCGTGGTGGCGCACGCCTGTAATCCCAGTTACTCGGTAGGCTGAGGCAGGAGAATCGCTTGAACCTAAGAGGCGGAGGTTGTGGTGAGCCGAGACCGCGCCATTGCACTCCAGCTTGGGCAACAAAAGCGAAACTCTGTCTAAAAAAAAAAAAAACTAGAACAATGAAATAAAAATAGATGTATAATAATTTTCTTCATTATTAGATTCAACAGATAGACTTACTTTCTTAAACTGCTCCAAGTTTCTAAGTGCCTAGGCTGAATTTCTGTACTTATTGCACAGCACTGGTCTGAGGATCAGACTTTGAGAAGTACTGGTCTATATTAGAGCATGTACCACATTTACAGATGAGTTCCTGCAGGGTGACAGCCTTCTCATGGTCCCTTCATATTCTCTAGTATGCAGGGACTTTGCATCCGGCACACTCTGTGCATTTAAACGGGAACTAAACAGTACACTACGGGCAGAAGCATAGCCTGGTGAAAATAACTCAGGCCCTAACATCAGGCAATGTAACTTTAGAGACTCGACTACTTCCCAACTCTGTGGCTACTGGCAAGTCATTTAACTCCTCTGGGTCTCAGCTTTCTCATCTGTGAAATGCGGATAATAGCATGTAGCTCGGACTGGGAGCAATAGTGACACATACTGGTAAAGCATTCAGCACGACGACGGCTATTACTACTATTGCTATTTCAACTACAATACATAGTGAAGTACTAAAAATCTCAGAAACAAACTACAATCTATATTCCTTTGGCAAGCTTATACTGTAAAGGGCTAGAACATAAATATATTCAGTTTTGTAGGTCCTAAGGTCTGTGTTGCAATGACTCCATTCTGCCGATGTAGCGTGAAAGCAGCCATATGCAATATGCAGAGGATTGCAGGTGGCTGTGTTCTAAGAAAACAATTTATGTGTAATCTTGGCACTTTGGGAGCCAAAGTGGGCAGACTGCTTGAGGCCAGGAGTTCAAGACCAACTCTGGCAACAAGGCAAGATCTCATCTTTAGGGGAAAAAAAACATTATTCAGGCATGGTGACACTCGCCTGTAGTCCCAGCTACTCAGCTACTCAAGAGGCCGACATGGGAGGACTGCTTGAACCAGGAGTTCAAGGCTGCTGTGAGCTATGATCGCACCACTGCACTCCAGCCTGGGTGACAGAGCAAGACTGTGTCTCAAAAAAACGAAAAACATAAAAACAAAAACCAACCCCACAAAACTTTATTTATGGACACTGACACAGGAAACTTACATCATTTTCAAATGTCATAAAATATTATTCTTTTGTTTTTTTTTCATTCATTTAAAAATGTAAAAACTATTTTTAGCTGGCAGGCCATAGAAAAACTGGCAGCAAATTGTGCAGATTCTTAATAAAAATAATTTTAAAAAAGAAAAAAACAGGCAACAGGCCAGATTTGATCCTCTGCCCTTAGTTTGCCAACTCCTGCTCTAAACCCTTTCGACCTCAATTTAGTGAAAAATACCTATTGCATATGATAACCTTGAGTGTACAGAGTAGGAAAGAAGGTAGAAAAAGTCGAATCTGCCTTGTGGTAAGGATTTTTGTTTTGTTTTGTTTTTAAACTTCATTTGCAATAATTTCAGGCTTAGAAACAAAAAGTTGAAAAAAAGTAAAAAGAACTCCTTCATTGATTTTCCAAATGTTAACATTTTACCACATTTGCTTTTCTTTCTCAGGTTCTTTTCATGCCTGGAATACCATTTCTCTCTCTCTCTCTCTCTCTACATTTTTTTTTTTTTTTTGTGAACTGTTTGAGAATCAGTTGCAAAGATGATGCCCTTTTGTTTCCTAAAAAACAAGGATGTTCTTTTATATAACCATTACCAAAATTACCATTACCATTACCCAAATCAATACACCAATACAAAACTATTATTTCATATTTAGAGCGTGTAACATTATCAAAATCAGAAAGTTAACATTGATGCGGCCGGGCACAGTGGCTCATGCCTGTAATCCCAGCACTTTGGGAGGCCGAGGTGGGCAAATCACTTGAGGTCAGGAGTTCGAGACCAGCCTGGCCAACATGGTGAAACCCCATCTTTACTAAAAATACAAAGATTAGCCGGGCCTAATGGTGGGTTCCTGTAATCCCAGCTACTTGGGAGGCTGAGGCGGGAGAATCACTTGAACCTGGGAAGCGGAGGTTGCAGTGAGCCGAGATTGTGCGACTGCACTCTAGCCTGGGTGACAGAGTGAGACTCTGTCCTCCCACCCCCAAAAAAGGAAATGAACATTGATGCATGGTACTAATCTAGCCTACAAGTCTAATTGTGATTTCAGCAACTGTCCCACTAACATCCTGTATATGCCAAGCTTCTTATCGTCATCATCGCTAGTAATTTCCCCAATTATCCAGTGAATTTGATATTATTATCCCTGTTTTACCCACAAAGAAACTAAGCTCAGAGAGGTTAATTTGCCCACAGTCACACAGATCGTAAGTGGCAGAGATGGAATTCCAACTCAAGTGTACTGCCACCAGAGCCCTTGTTCTTTAATACTGAACTAGAATTGCAGAGCTTGGAAAGGACTTCACAGTGCAAGCACACGGAATTGGTACTCCAGGCACGAAAAGAAGCCAGGCACGGAGGCTCATGTCTGTAATTCCAGCATTTTGGGAGGTGCAGGCAGGCAGATTGCTTGATTCCAGAAATTCAAGACCTGCCTGGGTAACGTGGTGAGACCCTGCCTCTACAAAAAATACAAAAATTAGCCGGGTGTGGTGGTGCCCGCCTGTAGTTCCAGCCACTTGGTAGGCTGAGACGGGAGAATTGCTTGAGCCCAGGAGGCCAAAGCTGCAGTAAGCCGTGTTCACGCCACTGCACTCCAGCCTGGGAGGCAGAGTGAGAACCTGTCCCAAAAAAACAAAATCAAAACAAACAAAAAAAAAACCCCAAACCAAAAAACAAAAACCTGAGGAAGAAAAGCCAGTGACTGATACTTTCTTAATCTCTCAAGGAAATGTCCGGTAGGAAAGGAGAAAGGAGTGAACAAATAGAATTTTTGGCTACTTTGTTATACAATGTAAAAGGCTTTTTTGGAACACCAAGGCACAAACTAAGGTTATTATTATTATTTTTTAAACTTTTTTTTTGAGACGGAATTTCACTCTTGTTGCCCAGGCTGGAGCGCAATGGCTTGATCTGGGCTCACCACAACCTCCGCCTCCTGGGTTCAAGTGATTCTCCTGTCTCAGCCTCCCCAGTAGACGGGATTACAGGCGCATGCCACCACGCCCGGCTAATTTTTGTATTTTTAGTAGAGATGGGGTTTCATCATATTGGTCAGGCTGGTCTGGAACTCCTGACCTCAGGCGATCCGCCCGCCTCGACCTCCCAAGTGCTGGGATTACAGGCGTGAGCAGAATTTTCATTCTAACAAGTTCCAGGTGAGTTGATACAGTGGCTCCAGGGACCGACCACATTTTGCTAACCCCTAGTTTAGAATTATTCAAAGAGCCCGTATAAGATACGCGGAATTGATCTAGGGCGTTTAGGTTTAGTAATTAACAATTTCCCTCTTCTGCTCTCTCAAGGAAGCCAGAAAACAGGGAGACCATGATTCATGTCCAATCTCCGAGGCGCGTTATCAAGCTGCTGAAAGCAGGGCCTCCCGATTGCCGTTACAAAGGGTCCCCTCCCAGGCAAGACGCCTGCAAAACCCAGATAGTACTATCCTGGAGTCACGCGGCCGCGCGCAGCCTCCTAGCCGCCCCGACCCGCCCGGCTCGGCCACAGCGGGGCGGAGCGCGGGGCTGAGCAGGCGCGAGGGCTGGCTGCTGGGCGGACGAGGGGCGGTGCCAGGCCGCGGGTCCTTAGTCAAGTGACGCGGAGCGGCCGGCCTGGGCGCCGACTGCAGAGCCGGGAGGCTGGTGGTCATGCCGGGGTTCCTGGTTCGCATCCTCCCTCTGCTGCTGCCTCTGCTGCTTCTGGGCCCTACGCGCGGCTTGCGGGTAAGTCTGCGGGACTCGGGTACGGGGAGGCATTGCTAGGGGACAGGCTGGCGGGGAACCGGGCTCGGGCCGCAGCCACCCGGGGTCCCGCAGGGCGGAAAGCCTGAGCCCCGAAGTGCCCCCCAGCAGGCAGGCGGCCGGCGGAACGCAGGCAGTGGACCGGCCTTCCCGTCGGGGGCGGGCCGGGCGGGGCGCGCGTCCTTCCAGGCAGCTCGGTCGCTTGTGCGTTCCGCTCCGGCTGCCCTCTGCGCTTGGACCCACTTCCCTATCTGTAACGAGGTGGTGAGACGAGGTGCGCCTAAAGATTTCCTTAGTTGGCTTTCCGGGAGGGGATTCCAAGTTGCGCGGGTTAGAGGGTGCCTCGGGTTCTGGTTTGGGGCGCCCTTGCTTTCCCAGTCCGTGCTCTGCGGAGCGCTCCGGAAGGAGAAAAATGGGGTCAGGAGAGGCCCCTGCTGTGGGAGCACTGGGTTATTTTCCCTCTGGGTGCTCGCCCTCTTCGTGCATCTTGTTGCCTTCTCACCACTCCCCGTCGCCTGCCCTTTGGCTCCGGTTTTTCTTCGTATTTGTGGGACCCTTTTCCTTCGGCGTTTGGGGGTCCAGGTTGCGTGGGGGAATAGGCAGGCTGCCGGGGGATCCCAGCATTGATGGGGGGAGGGCTGGCGAGGCGAATAGGTGAGGTGCGGGGCGTGCACGTTTGGTGGGAGAGTAAGGGCAGCTTCACTCGCTTCGTCCGAGCTGAGGCGACGGGCTTAGGGGGTTCCTAAGCGCTGCCTGGGGAGGTTTGCATCAGACCTGCGGAAAGGAGAGTGGATAGTTGCAAGCTGCTCCTCTGCACGTTCCGCGGACCAACTTTGGTTCCTTCAGGGTGTAGGTGGGCCGAGCCTGCAGCACGCTTTAAGTAAGAGCTGGTGGCATTTGACACGGTGGACTTGTAAGTTACACCCTTTAATAGGGCTTTCAATAACGCGCCTAGTGCAGAGAAAAGTGGTACATTTATCTGCAACCAAGATTGAACATCTTAAGTATTTGGAAAACAGCTGCTGAAAATGTTTTCATTTTGGGAAAAAGTCAGCACAGATTATTTACTTTTCCCTCTTCACCCCGTCTGTGGTTCCCCTACCCCAGTTATGTAGACAGAGTTCTTGTCCACAAGGCCCGTAGGACCTTAGGAGTCAGAGCTAGCCAGCTGTGAGAACCACTGGGGAAGGTGGAAGTGGGGCACAGTTCAGGAGAACAGTGGCAGGGTAAGGGGCTGGGGGAAAGGCAGATTTTAACCAGTATCTGGGAGTGGGGGTAGAGAGAGAGAGAAGGATTTATGAACCAGGAGCAGGTGGACAGGGTCAGTCTGTCTGATGTAAGCTTATCAGTCTAGTGCAGCATCAGTGGGTCAGGGTGGATGCCCTGTGGCTACCATACCTGAGGCCCACACAGGGAGGCTGGCATCACCCCAGGAATTCTCATGTCAGGTGCCTAGGTGTCCCTCTTGGGCTCCTGTGCCCACAGCTGAAGAAAGATACTAGCAGTCTAGCTTTTCATTATCTCCTTGTTTACATTTCTTTACAGTCCAAGACATTCTCCTGCCTCAGCCTCCCAAGTAGCTGGGACTACAGGTGCCCGCCACCACACCCAACTAATTTTTTTTTTTTTTGTATTTTTAGTAGAGACAGGGTTTCACTGTGTTAGCCAGGATGGTCTTGATCTCCTGACCTCGTGACCCAGCGGTTCTCAAATTTTAACTAAATTTTAGCTGTCCTAGAAATTAAGAGAATATTTTCTTCCTTTTTTTTTTTTTTTTTTTTTTTGAGACAGAGCCTCACTCTTTCGCCGAGGCTGGAGTGCAGTGGCATGATCTTGGCTCAGTGCAACTTCCACCTCCCAGGTTCAAGTGGTTCTCCTGCCTCAGCCTCCCGAGTAGCTGGGATTACATGTGCCCGCCACCATGCCTGGCTAATTTTTGAATTCTTAGTAGAAACAGGGTTTTACCATGTTGGCCAGGCTGGTCTTGAACTCTTGACCTCAGGTAATCTGTCTGCCTCGGTCTCCCAAAGTGCTGGGATTATAGGCGTGAGCCACTGTGCCCAGCCCTAGAGAATATTTTAAACTATTTGTTAAGAAATAATACATCATTATACATTAATAAACTGTATATATTTGAAAAACAATAGTATTTCTCCCCAAATTTTAGGGTGAAGAGTTGCACTGTTTTACATTTCTGCAAATCTCTTTCAATGTCTCTTAATAGAAGACAGTCAAATTTTCATGTTTATTTCTGCATGAAATCTGTTGCCATATCACATGTCACATAGCCTCTGGAAAATTCCACCCTCAGGACAGAGTGAGAATGGAAAAGGCAGTAATGGCTTGGAATTATAATAAAAATAGTTTTCACTAATTGGACCCCTGAAGGGCTCTCTCCAGACCGCACTTTGAATACCGCTGATTTGGAACATTCTTATAAAACAAGTGCATGCTCACTGTAGAGAAACTTTAAACGTATAGAAAATGTGGTAAGAAAATGAAAACTGCCCATCATGTCACAATGCTGTGAGTTTCTTTTTGAATCATAAAGTATAGCTAGCAACTCACTGGTATTTGAGTGGCTTGGATTCAAGGTGGGTTGGGCAGACGTAAGTGGCCTTTGAGTTTTGAATGGGTACAAGGATGCTCTAATATCCCACAAAGCTGATGCTGGTTCCTGGTTGCAGGCGGAGTTGACCTGGAAACCTCTCCTTGGCCACTGTCCTTTCTAAAGAACTCATTTCCAGAGTCCACCAGCACAGAACTGGTGGGGGAGCCTCCTAGGAGCAGAGAAAATGGCCATCTTCAGGCAGCTGTCCCTAGGCGCGAAGGCCACCCTGGCTGCCGTCACTGTCTTCGTGTCCATGATCGCCTCCCGCTCGTATCTGGCAGACAGCCTTGAGCTCAGGGCCTGGCGTTGGCTGCTTCGCTTGCAGCTTGCCCTGTTTGTCAACTCGCTCTTGCTCATTGGCTCCCTCTACATTTGGCGCAGCACAGTTAGCAACCTCTGCCACTCCCCAGCTGCGGAGTCGACCTGTTTTCAGCTTTGGAAGGTGGTGGTTCTGGCATTTCTGGCCCTGGCCCATTCCAGTTTCTTCACCATGTTTTTTTTAGTGGCCGAGGAGCCCTATCTCTTTTCCTTGGCAGCCTACTCCTGCCTGGGTGCTTACATCATCATGCTCTTCTTCCTCTGCATCCTCAGCGGCATGGAGCAGGCCTACCAGCTCTTGGCCTGGCGCAGTGGTAGGGTCGTGGGCAGCCTTGACAAGACAAGGAAGCTGGTGCTCAGGCCTGCCCTGGCAGTGGGAGTGACTGCTGTGCTCAGCGTGGCCGGGATTCTGAATGCTGCGCAGCCCCCGGCTGTGAAAACTGTGGAGGTGCCCATCCATCAGCTGCCCGCCTCAATGAACAACCTCAAGATCGTGCTCCTCTCAGACATTCACTTGGGCCCCACAGTGGGCAGGACCAAGATGGAGATGTTTGTGGGGATGGTGAATGTGCTGGAACCAGACGTCACCGTGATCGTGGGTGACCTCTCCGACTCGGAAGCCTCGGTCCTGCGGACGGCTGTCGCTCCTCTGGGCCAGCTTCATTCACGTCTCGGTGCCTACTTCGTCACAGGCAATCATGAGTACTACACGTCAGATGTCAGCAACTGGTTTGCACTTCTGGAATCCCTGCATGTCCAGCCTCTTCATAATGAGAACGTGAAGATTTCCGCCACACGGGCCCAACGTGGTGGTGGTGGCAGTGGCGGTGGGAGTGAGGATGAAGACTGGATCTGCTTGGCTGGGGTGGACGATATTGAAGCAGACATCCTGCACTACTCTGGCCATGGCATGGATCTTGACAAGGCCCTGGAGGGCTGCAGCCCAGACCATACAATCATCTTGCTAGCTCACCAGCCCCTGGCTGCCAAGAGAGCTCTCCAGGCTCGGCCAGATATTAACCTGATCCTTTCTGGGCACACACATGCTGGGCAGATCTTCCCCTTGAACGTAGCAGCCTATCTCCTGAATCCCTTCTTTGCTGGTCTCTACCAAGTGGCCCAGGCTACATTCGTATATGTCAGCCCGGGCACAGCCTACTACGGGATACCCATGAGGTTGGGTAGCAGGGCGGAGATCACAGAGCTCATCCTGCAGCGGTCTCCCTGAACCGGCCCTGCCCTGTGCACCTCTGCCCTGCCCTTGCCCTCAACCCTCCATCCTGCTTCAGAGTGGTTTGCCTGCTTTTCCCCTCCAGCCTGGCCCACCCAGCCTTGCCTACACACCCTTGGTCACAAGCCTGATTCAAACAGTGACTCCTGGTGGGGCTGCCTGGCATGTTCAGGCTGGTTTAACCGTTTCCTTGGCCGGTTGCTTTTTTTGATGCACTTGTGAGATCACTAAGGTCACATATATGAGCACTCCCCTCTATTTTCCAGGTGGTGTGGAGTGGGGACCTTCTCCTGCAGAGCTCCCAGGGATGAACCTCCCCTTGGGGTTGCTAGAAAGGAATACCTCTAGAAGGTGGGGCCGAGGAGGAGCAGGAGCATTTTTCTCTTGGTGTTTTAAAACTGTCTTTAGGACTTAATTGGTTTCCAGAATCATTGATCCAGAGCCGTTCTGGGGAAGGGGCAGTGTTGCCAGGTAATTTGGGAGAATAGGCAAGATGGAAGGGCCCCTTGGCTGCTAGAGAAGAATATTTTCTTTTCCTCTGCTTCTATCAGGATCACCTCTATTGAGGGCATCAGCAAAATCTACTGGAATGCAAAGCTCCTCCTGTTCCAGGCCTTGAGGGATGCTATTTAACTGTCTGTGCTCCTGGGCCTTTGGGGGCAAGGTCGGGGGAGAAGAACGATGGGCGCCGTGGTCGGTGATGGTGGGAACGTGGCTGCTTAGGAATTCGGAAGGCTTTGCCTCCCTTGCCTCATTTTATACAACCCTTTGGGGAGCTAATTGGAGACAGGCTGCTTTTCCCTATTTGGAGATGAGGAAACCAAGGCAAAGAGAGATAGGGCACAGGCAATATGACAAGATGTGTAGGAGATTTGGGGCTAGAAACCAGGTCTTTTACCTCCCAGTAAAAGCGGTGCTTTTCCACCATGTGTTGATGAAGTAGCTGCATCTGTTGCAGGTGGTCTGTTGCAGGTGAGCGCGGGATTCAAATGCAGTTCACCAATTCACAGTGCAGAGAGAATGAACAAGGGCCTAGGACCCCATGCTCTTTCTAAGTGGTTTGCTTGAGGCTGATTTCAACTTACCCATACCGGCATGGACTGGAGCCTGGAAGGGAGTCAGCTAGTTTCAGTGTAGGATGTCTTACATTTGAAGAAGAGTCAGGAAACTGGAACCCTCCACCTCCGACCCCACGTTTGGGTTTGATTTTTCTGTGAGCAGCCGGGCTCACTCTGTCAGTGGGGGAGATGAGGCCTGCATGGGAGTGGCAGTGCTGTGTGCCTCTGGCAGGGCCTGCAGACTCCTCTCCCTGGGCCTGGCTGTGGAATGCAGAGACTGTTCTTCCTGCTAGGTGGCTTCCAACCCACTTGCTTGACCCTTTAAGAGCTGCCCTTGGGCTCTGGCCATGAAATGATAGGGCCATCCCCACTGGCTTCTAGACCCATAGAAAAACCAGGCAGGGATTATGATGTCTGGAGTGACCCTGTTGGCCTGGCCCTTTTGCCGGAAGCAACAGATCGTTTGATCCTGAGATGGAGATAAGCACCTGTGTTAGAAAAGGCCTCACTGAGAAGACAGGGCTGGGCCAGTTTCCTGCTGGGTGATTTAGGCTTGTGATGGATAGTCTTCCTCCGATGGGGACTGAAGAAACTCGCTTTGACTGGAGAGGCTAACCCTGCTACTCACTCGTTGGGCAGCGGTGGGTGGGTAACTTTCCCTTACTGAGCCTTGGTTTCCATCAACCCTAAAATGGGGATAATTATCACATCTACCTCAAGATTGTTTTGTCAGGAGGGATCCATCAAGCCTTGTGCATGAGTTCCACATGGCACAGTGTGCACAGTGAACACTCAATGTTAATTTTTCAGCTTTCCAGTGGAGCTTGCTAAGGAACTGTGTTGGGCACAGGTGCCCGGAGGATTCATGAAGCAGCCAGTCCTGAGGAATGTGAGTGGGTAACGAGTTGCCTGCTGCTGGGGCCGGTGATGTGTCAAAGCAGCAACTGCTGGGGGTTTGCCTTCCTCCCCTCGTGCGCATTCTGGCAGGCAAAGGGGGTTTCTTCCTTTCCTCTTTGTTTTCCTGGTGTATAGTGCGGTTCTGGGGGATCTGGAGACCACCCTTTTTGTTCCCAGGCAGCCACAGTATTGACAGTGGGCCATCCCATGCAGTTTAAAATGTATCTTTGAGTTGAAATTTTGGTGGTTTCCTTATTCTTTTCTCTCTTCCCTGTCCTTCCAAACTCACTTTTCTTGTGACCCGACTGCATTTTGTGAATCATCCTTCCTCCCTTTCAGTTCTCGCTTTGGATTTCACTAGGTGGGCTCCATGGTGCCATTTCACTTCCACTGTTTGGTGCCACTGGTAATGTTTGACTCACCTGTCATGTGTTATTTCACTGATTTCTTGATTTTGCATCTTTCTTATCAGTGACCTGGGCTTGATGAAATTAGCTTTTATGAAGTCCTTTTTTTTGTTGTTTAATTTTGCATCCTTACCTCTTTTCTTTCTCTTGAATGCCATCATTGTGTGGTCTTATATACCCTTCATCCACTCTGAAGTCCTTGCTTGACTGATTGCTTTCTATTAGCAGAAAGAAAACAGGTCCATTCCATGTATCTGAGAAACAACATCAACACCCTCTCATATCTGGTTTGTATTCCCTGGCTCGGCGGACATTTTTCCAGCAGAAATTTCTCCATCACTGTCCAGATTCTGGCCCTGGTGGGCAGGACTCCATGACACCTTTATTGCCTCTGTTCAACATTCTTTTTTTTTTTTTTTTTTTTTTTTTTTTTTTTTTTTTTGAGACGGAGTCTCGCTCTGTCACCCGGGCTGGAGTGCAGTGGCCGGATCTCAGCTCACTGCAAGCTCCGCCTCCCGGGTTCACGCCATTCTCCTGCCTCAGCCTCCCGAGTAGCTGGGACTACAGGCGCCCGCCACCTCACCCGGCTAGCTTTTTGTATTTTTTAGTAGAGACGGGGTTTCACCGTGTTAGCCAGGATGGTCTCGATCTCCTGACCTTGTGATCCGCCCGTCTCAGCCTCCCAAAGTGCTGGGATTACAGGCTTGAGCCACCGCGCCCGGCTCTCTGTTCAACATTCTTAAACCATTGACCTTCTTTTTTTTGTTTGTTTGTGGCTGGGGGAGGTGGTGAGAGACATTACTTGAAGCTTGATCATTCTTTCAGTTTCATTTGTTTATTTTTAATCTGTTAGATGCAAATTGAAATGCAATGCTTTTTGAAGATTAGCAATAGCATCTGTAGTATATGATGCTGTTACAAAATAATAAATTAATCCTGCTTCCATTCCTACCAAATACCTATCCATGCTTTTTTCCCCTCGTATTTTGTTTGGTTTGTTTTAAACTTTTCGTACATGTACCTATCTCCCAGCTTTCACAAGGATGACAAGACCATTCTGCCATCATTTCTTGGCTACCCCTGCCCCACTTGTACTCTTTATTTTTTGGCTGGAGTATAATTAAGGTAAATCATAGAAAACATAACGTTACCCCAAAATTACTTCAGTATGAATCCTTTTTCAAAAAGCATACCTATAATGTCATTATCATATCCAATGAAATTAACAGTGATTCTTGAATATTATCTAATAGCTAGTTAGGAGATTTGGGGCTAGTAGCCAGATTTTTGACCTCTTTAAAGAAGTGTTCTTTCCACTGTCTGAGTATTAAGTAGCTGTATCTGTCACAAATGAGTATAGGATTCAAATGCAATTAATTGTGTGAAGAGTTAGTGTTTAGTTTTCGTGATTATCTCAATTATATTTTTTATTGTGGCAAAAAATTGACTATCTTAACCATTTTTTTTGTTCTTTTTGTTGCTGTTGATCTTAACCATTTTTAAGTGAACAGTTCAACAGTGTTAAGTATATTCACATTGTTGTGAAATTGATCTAATTGATCTGTAGAACTTTTTCATCTTGCAACTCTATACCCATTGAGCAACAAGGCTCCATTTCCCCCTTCCTCCAGCCCCTGGTGACCACAATTCTATTTTCTGTTTCTATGGCTTTGACTACTTTAGATACCTCATAGAAGTGAAATCATGCAGTTTTTGTCTTTTTGTGGCGGGCTTGTTTCAGTTAGTATAATGACCTTAAGGTTGTGGCACGTGACTGGATTTCTATTCTTTTTAAGGCTGGACCACAGTAATATTCTGTTGTATTTTTATGCCACATTTTGTTTATCCATGTTGAGCATGTTTTCATGGGCTTGTTGGCCACTTGTATACCTTCTTTGGAGAAATGTCTATTCAAGTCCTTTGCCTATCTTTAAATCAGATTATTTAATTTATTGTTGTAGAGATGTAGGAGTTCTTTATGTATTCTGGATATTAACCCCTTATCAGATATGTAATTTGCAGATATTTTCTTCAGTTCTGTACATTGCCTTTTCACTTATTGTGACCTTTGATGCACAGAGTTTTAAAGTCTGATGTAGGCCCATTTCTCTATTTTCACTTTTGTGTTTGTGCTTTTGGCATCATATCCAAAAAATCATTGCCAAATTCAATATCATGTAGCTTTTTTTCCCATGTTTTCTTCTAGGAGTGTTATAGTTTTGGGTCTTATGTTTAGGTCTTTAACCCATATTGAATTAATTTTTGTGTATGGTGTAAGATAAGGGTCCAACTTCATTCTCTTGCATGCGAATATCCAGATTTCCCAGCACTGTTTTCTGAAGAAATTGTCCTTTTCTCATCAAGAGGTCTTGGCATCTTTGTTGAAAATCATTTGACCATATACACAAGGGTTTATTTCTGGGTGTTCTATTCTCTTTCATTGCTCTATTTGTCTGTCTTTATGCCGTTACCATGTTATTTTGATTACTATAGCTTTGTTTTGAAATCAGGAGGTATGAGTCTTTCAACTTTGCTCTTCTTTTTCAAGACTGTTTTGTCTATTTGGTGTCTGTTTAGATTCTGTATGAATTTTAGGATAAATTTTTCTATTTCTACAAGAAATGCTATTGGGATTTTTATAGGGATTGTGTTGAATCTGTAAATCGCTTTGGGTAGTATGAACATCTTAACAATATGAATCTTCCACTCCATGAACATAGGATGTTTTTTCCATTTGTTTGTATCTTCTTTAATTTCTTTTAACAGTGTTTTGTAGTTTTCAGTGTCGTCTTTCACCTTAGTTAGGCCTATTTCTAAGTATTTTATTCTTTTTGATGCTTTTTTAAATGGAATTTTTTAAAATTCCATTTAGGATTGTTCATTTTTAGTGTATAGAGATGCAACTGATTTTGGTGTGTTGCTTTTGTATCCTGCAACTTTGCTGAATTCATTTATTAGTTCTAACAGTGTTGTGTGTGTGTGTGTGTGTGTGTGTGTGTGTGTGTGTAATCTTTAGGGTTTCCTTCATCTAAGATTATGTCATCCGCAAACAGATCACTTTACATCTCCTTTCTAATTTGAATGCCTTTTATTTCTAGTTGCTCTGACTAGGACTTCCAAAACTATTTGAGTAGATGTGGCAAAAGCAGACATCTTGTCTTGTTCCTGATCTTAGAGGAAAAGCTTACAGTCTTTCACTATTGAGTATGATGTTAGCTATGGGCTTTTCACATGTGGACTTTATGATGTGGAGGTAGTTTTCTTCTATTTTGCATTTGTTGAGTTGTTGGGTTTTTTTAAATCATGAAAGGGTGTTGAATCTTGTCATGCTTTCTCTGCCTCAATTTAGATTATCATGTGGTTTTTGCCCTTTATTCTGTTAATTTGGTGTATTACATTGATTTTTATATGTTAAACCATTCTTGCATTTTAGGAGTAAATCCCACTTGATCATAGTATATAATCCTTTTAATGCATTGTTGAATTCAGTTTGCTAGTATTTTGTTGAGGATTTTTACATCAATATTCACCAGGAATATGATCGTACTATAGTTTTCTTGTAATGTATTTTTCTGGCTTTGGTATTAGGATAATATTGGTTTCATAGAATAAATTTGGAAATGTTCCTTCTCTTCAACTTTTGTAAGAGTTTCAGGAGGATTGGTATTAATTCTTCTTTAAATGTTTGGTAGAATTCTCCAGTGAAGCCATCTGGTTCTAGGTTTTTCTTTGAGGTGTGTGTGTGTGTGTGTGTGTGACACATAGTCTCGCTCTGTCGCCCAGGCTGGAGTGCAGAGGCGTGATCTCGGCTCACTGCAATCTCTGCCTCCCGGGTTCAATCGATTCTCCTTCCTCAGCCTCCCAAGTGGCTAGGACCACAGGCACGCGCCACCACGCCCGGCTAATTTTTGTATTTTTAGTAGAGATGAGTTTTCACCATGTTGGCCAGGCTGGTCTCAAACTCCTACCTCAAATGATCTGGCCGTCTCCGCCTCCCAAAGTGCTGGGATTACAGACGGGAGACACCGTGCCCAGCCTCTTTGAGGTTTTTGATTACTGATTCAATCTTTTTAATAGCTATTGGTCTGTACAGATTTTCTGTTTCTTCATGATTCAGTCTTGGTGGGCTGGGTGTGTCTAGAAATTTATCCATATCTCCTATGTTATCCAATTTGTTGGCATACAGTTATTCATGCTATTCTCTTACAATCCTTTATTTCTGTGGCATCAGTTATAATGCCCTCTCTTCATTTCTGATTTATTTATATATTCTTTTTTTAAAATCTAGTTAAGTTTCTCAATTTTGTTGATTTTTTTTCAAAAACCAACTCGTTTTTTTTTTTCTACTATCTTTCTATTCTCTTTTGTTTATTTCTGCTCTAATCTTTTATTGTCTTTTGCTAGCTTTGGGTTTTTTTTTTCTTCTTCTTCTTATGGAATTGTCTTTTTATAGTTACTTTGTTTGAAACAGGAATGAAAAATAGGTCTATATTTTGCCTGTGTTATGTTTCTTCAGTTTCCTTAAGTCTATAACATCCCCCTTTCCTTATTTTA